GCTGCCGCTGCCGCCGCCCGCCTGCCACGATTGGCCTGTCTTCATGGTCAACTAATACGCTCACAAACCACTTGTAGAAGCAAGCAATTTACCTTATTAAAATGACATTAAGACTTACGAACATCGGAATTTTACAGATGCTAATATAGTTCTGTCAATTAAAAAAATGTTAGTTCAAAAATGGAAAAAGTCATTTGCTTTTAGATTGAAACAGGACCTATGCAGATTTTTCTTTTCAGAGATTCACAAAAATGTTTGCCTGTTTATAAATCTGTATTCTTAAAGTAATATAAAAGCAAGAATTCATTTTTATTTGTTTTAGAGGTTATGTTTTGTTGTTTTTTTTTTTAATGAAGGTAAAAAATATTGCTTGCCTGCACTAGCGTTATGAAATGGCTCAAACGATTTAGTGATATTAATTACAGACTAAAAATATATTATTTAATTCAGAATAAATGTTTACATATATCAGAAAGATATTAATTGTTTGTGCGTTGTAAAATATTATTCTTATTTGTTGATCTTTCAAATATTAATTCTATAATATAATATGATCTACTTATTATAAGGTAATTTTATATTATGATGGGTCCAAAGAGGTGGAAAAATTTCTATTGATGTATCGTTTTTGTCGCCGTAATATTGTTAGCATTGTGTTTTAATCTTACTAATGAAGTAACTATTAAAATGTCTATGAACATATCACAGCTTGAAACATGTTTATAATCTTACGGTGACGTCACATATTTTTACCTCTCCAAAGAAGAGTTTGTTTTTAAATATCAAAATGGTCTCTAACTTAATGCCACATCTCAAGTATCATGTCTGTGCAAGATAAATATTCTTTGAGAAAATTCAAACATTTTTGTTTCGTATATTCTTTGTATTCATATACTTTACTTATGAAAAAAACATACACATATTTACAAGCGGCATATTCTAGAAGATTATAATTTTGATAGAACACTTTTATCTTGCTAAGAAGAAAAAAATTAACGACTTTAATTTTTTTATTTTTTTTTCAATGAACTTGAGATGTCACATTTCAAAATATCACCATTAAACTATTGTATAAAGTTCCTTCAGATAGAATTTTCACAATTATTTATATTAATAATTAATGAAAAAAAAAACATTACTTTTTTCGCTCTATAAAATTGACAACGAATGTACACAGTGATACGAAGGTGCTGTTTGTTAATTATTTTTTTAGAAAATAAACCAAATATGTTATTGATGTTAAGTTACACATAATTTAGTCTTAGAATTCGCTCAATTAGAATAGAGAATAAATATTACAGCCAGAAAATAATATCGCCATAATTTAATTGAAATAATTACAGTAAGTTAATATTTACTATAAATATTACGGTTTTAACGTATAAAATTCGACGACAATCCTGCAAACACAATTTTCAACGCAACATAATACAAAAAAACATAACACAAAAATTAGCAGAATTACGTTCTATATTTAAATTTATCACGCCATATTGGCAGAATTGTTTCGATCTTCGAAAATCACTTTTAGTAAACGCATAAGCCTGAAAGTGCTCAATTATTGTATAATTAATACATTTCCATTAGAAAAAACAAATTTAATTTATATAATATTATATTTAAGTTTAAAATTCTTGCCGGGATAAATATCCAGCAGAAATTAGGTTAAATATGACGTAGATATTATTTATAAGTATATTGCCAGATGCAAAAAATATTTTTATTTTATTTATAAAAAATAATATAGAAAATTATTATATTTAAATAATTGGTACATTTACCGATATGTTTAAAATATATTTTTTTGTTATTTAAATTATTGATTTAGACTACAAATTGGTAACTATTTGATGCCCTATAGCTTCTACAGGGGAAAAATATTATTTTTATACGTTAATTAGACTTGTTATATTTTATATTGGCATAATATTTAAGTTATAAATCTGATATAAAGATATAAGAGAAACAACAAAATCTGAATGTCTTCCAATTGTAAAAAAACTATTTATTTAGGAGTGTCACAAAATTTGTGATAATATTAATGTTACTTTATTTAGATTTTAATAATAAATATAATATAAATCGTTGAATTTCAAGCAATAAAATATTGTGTAAGTTACTATGGTCAGTGATAGTGAGTAAATATAGGTTATTTTAACTGTACGACTACCGAAACAACAAAAACATTGCTATCTCGTTTTATTTAAAGAAAATGAGAAGTAAGACAATATTTTTTTAACTTCGGTAGTTGTCAAATGTTTATATTTATGTGATCTTTGAAGTTATAGTCAACGATATTTGACCCGGGAAAATGTGCTCTTTTTAGGTTGTCACAAAATATGTAAAATCTACATTAAAATAAGTATAAGATGTTGGCGCTAGTGAGCTATTTAGTTTCACTTATCGCCGGGTCAAATATCTTGTCTTGTTGTTTTATCACAATTTCTGCTGCCATGCACGCCATGTCCAGCGTTATCCATGACCCTTAATATTAAGAGTGTGCTATAGTTTATAATTATTATTTGAAGAATTATGACGTCTATATCTAAAATGTTACCAGTTAAGGTAATAGACAATCTGAGTATATTTTTATAATAAAACGAAATTGACGATCTTTCTAAATTAATTATAATGGTATATATTTTGATAAAAAGTGTAAAAAGCAACGCATAATTTGAATTAGATTCATATTTTTGTTATTTTTATATATATTTTTAAAGTTATTTTCAGCGAATTTGTTATAATGGTGATCATTGTTTATCTAATCGTTATTTCAATCAATTATTTTTATTAGTTCTGTTGATTAGTCGCTATGATTTTTTGTGTCTGAAATTAACAAAGCATTTCTCTCGCTCTAATGTATGAGTTTGTCTCACTCTAACATATGACGTACAAATAACCTAACAAAATTCACCTGACACTTGTTTTAGAACATATTTTGTCCTTGTCTTTTTAAAGAAAGAGAAAGAGATGGCGATTTAACTCAGATACAAAAAACAAAATGGCGAATACTATGAAATGTTAAGCTTGTAGTTTTGAGTAGTGTAGTCAATTAGAAATTGTGCAATGTAGTTGATAAAGTTCTGATAGTATGTTGTAATTTAGCATGATATAATACAAAATAGAGAATTGTTTTAATAAAAAATAGATTAAAATGTTGTTTTTATTTTATACCCCTCCGTTTATTTCGTTGTTTGTTGTTTACATATAACAATTAAAATTTTATTTATGTCATTTCGTTGTTAACTTTACGTCTTCCCGCGCGATTCATTTTTTTTGCTTATCTTTTTCTATAAAAGGCAAAGGTTTTATTGGCAGTATGCCATCTCTTTTCAGAAAGGGTACCTCATTCTGCATGCAACAATAAAAGCCATATAAATCCATCACATTTATTTATTTTTCCTTATTAAATATATTTACAGTAATTCCATAAAATTAAAGATTTCAGACAATTTCACAGATTAAGTCCAAATATGTTGAATTTGACTGCAACATACGTTTATACTTATCTCTGTTTAACCAAAGAGAATGAAAGAGATGCAACATGTATACAGGGGCTTATCATGAATATTCGTGAGAACATTTTCGTTACGTCATCAACAAATAATTTATCTTACGAAAGTTTTAATGAGTTAATAGTCATCGAGGAAAAAGAATTTGTGTAGTTTCCCTTTTTTACTTTTAATTTGGCATGAGACAAGTTATGTTCTTAAAAATTCCATGAATGTTTATGTACACTAAGTTTCTTTACTACTATGTTCTGTCTTTTTGCCAATCAAATTAAAAAACGTAAATCAACAAATTTCATACAATTGTTGTCGATTACGTTACGAATAAAATCTCGCAAATGTCACGTATTCGTGATAGACCCCGTTCACTATTTACGTCGCTAAGTTTCCTCCTGCGTGGTGGCGACTTGCGCTAGAAACACTTGCTGTGGTTGGTTCTGACCGCCATGGGAAGATACCTGTTTAGACAAGTAAGTCAATTCCACTAAATTTTAATAATTAACCGAAATAAAAAAGACAAGTAGCCTATGTGTTCTTCCAGACAATGCCCTACATTTATGTCAAAATTTCATCGAGATCCATTCAGCAGTTTAGGCCACAAACACTAACAAACTTTCTCATCTTACTAATATTATAAACTAGCTGTCCCCGTGCGGTTTCATCCGCATGAAATTATGAAAATTTTATTTTATTGTTTACATTTGTCAAATTGACAATAGCAAATGTTAAAATGACATGGAAAACAACCTTGGCCATCTTGCTTTCTTGATGTTGGCAGAAACTTATGGTCTCTTTCCTACATTAGGGTTTCGATCCAAAAAATTTACCCCCTAAGTTTAATGGCGTGAAAAAATATAGCCTAAAGCGTGATGTAAGTGTAGGGCTTTTTATTAAAAAACGAATTGTTCAAAAATATGGTGTATTTGCTGACAACTTAGACAACAAAGAAGTGTGTGTTTACACTTTATTATAATAGTATAGATGGGAATGTTTGGGCGGATGCATGGATGGATTGGATATGTGTTAGTTTATAACTTAAACCGCTGAACGGATCTCGATAAAATTTGGCATGGATGTAGAGGGTAGTCTGGAAGACCACAGGTTACTTCGTCTTTTAATTCCACGCAGATGAAGTTGTGGAATAAAGCTAGTTTGTAATATTAAGAAGCAAGATGTCACCAGCTGACTCATTTTTATAGATTTATTTTGGAACATCCTATAGTGTTTAAATTTATGTTACTTTGAATAACTGGGCTTATGGTTCTATTATTTTTTTTTAATTTACTATTTTTATTTAGACTACACATGCAATTGTGAACTGACCTGTATGATCTGCGGCGTCTGTTGCGGCTGAGCTTGTATCACGATAAGCTGTCCCGCGTTGTTCTGCAGCTGAGGACGGACTAAGTTCAACTGCGCTTGAGATAACTGGATCTGGTAAAAGGTTATTGCTCAAATATATTAAACTACCTGTTCCCTTGCGACTTCATCCGCATTAAATTATGAAAAATTTTATTTTATTGTTTACATGTCAAATGTCAAAATGACATGACATGACAAATATTGACAATCTTGCTTCCTTGATGTTGGCAGCAACTTATGGTCTCTTTCCCACATTAGGGTTTTTATCCACAATCTTTACCCCCTAAGTTTAATGGCGTGAAAATATATAGCTAAAAGCGTGACGAAGTAGGGCTTTTTATTAAAAAAAGAATTATTCAAAAATACACTGTAATTGCTGCCATCTTAGGCAACAAAGAAGTGTGTGTTTACGCTTTATTATAATAGTATAGATATAGATAATCATACTGATATTATCAATGCGAAAGGTTAGATGGATGGATGGATGTTAGAGTTTGTAACCTAAACGTCTGAACGAATTTTGATGAAATTTGGCATAGATGTAGAGGATAGTCGGATAGTAGTAGGGAGAACACATAGGCTTCTCACTTTTGTTTTCTTAATTTCACGCGGACGGAGTCGCGGGAGTTAGCTAGTAATATATACTAGCTAATGCTATTTTTATTCTAATTAAAACAAAAGAATTAAAAATGATTTTGAATTAAGATACAATTATATCCATACCTAGATCAATAGTGGAAGAAATAACTTATTCTACGAGGGAAAGTATTATGCACAAATCCTGTTTAGTGAATGCCAAAAAATAAACATAAATATTGCGAAACTTGTACTTAGGTAATTCATGAAGACGAAGCTGCACGGAACAGCTAACTAACATAAAACGTACACACATTTGTTTTGCAAGAAGTAGCAATCAAGATATATATTTCAATACTGTCTTTTTTTTAATAATAAGCCCTACACTCATGTCATTATATAGGCTATATATATTCACGCTATTTAATTTGGGAGAGTGAATGAATTGGAAAAAGTCATGCGTGAAAGGGATAAAAATTACAAACCAATAGCAGCAAAGCAAGATTGCCATGGTTAACAAATTAGCCAATAAAAGGCCTTTGTTGTGAAGTTTTGACGTGCTATTGAAAGTTTGAAAATAAACTTTTTATAATTTCACAAGGAACAGCTAACACCTAGTATTACATATACCCTTCTGGTCTTGACAAGGTATGTATACTTACGGGTACTTGCTGCAGTTCCCCAGAGGAGGTGACAACTTGCTGCACCAGGGTAAGGGGCTGTCCACCAGAGGATGTAGACGCGTTACCTGATTGCTGGAATGTTACACATACTCTTGTATTTGATACAAAATGTGTCTTTTATGGCCGGTTTCCTAGATACTTTTAATCATTCGTTAGTGTGTTTGGTTCGATAACTTCATAACATGCACTAACTACGTAACTTGAGTTTTACTTTTTTGAAATAGGTCAACCTAACAGTAATGAATCAGTAGGTAATTTTAACAGTGGTAGAGCTCGCTTTAACATCTTCGCACGTATGGGTCGGCTCGCCCCCAGTAATACCACGACCACAGAAGATAGGCGTGAAGTGGACACAATTACGCGTTTCGTCTGATGAGTGTGGTGCCGGAGGCCCAATTTTAGTCCCTTTCTCTTTACTACCCTTTTCTTATAAGGAGAAGTTGGGAAGGGGAAATGGATTTGACGGAGGAGGAGATGCATAGGAAGGGGAAATGTCCTCTTTATGTGCATCTCCTCCTCTGTCGTATAAGGGTAGGCAACGCATCTGCAATTGCCGATGTCTATGGGCAGCGGTCGCTTCGTCATTTTGGAGGATTCTAGTGGCCGCTAGCTCGTTTGCCACCTTTTTGTATAAAAAAAAAGTAATGTAAACTTCAGAAACCTAGCGTAAGTCGTATTTGTGATATAATAGTTATGAATCCTAGGTGTAGGAAACTTGATTAAAATTATGATCTCGAGTAGTAGTAATTCTGATATCGTGTTAGCTCAAGCCGTTATATATGTGTGTGTCTGCGTGTCCGCGTGTGTGTAACGTACCTGTACAACCTGTGCACAAGGTTGCAGCAGGTACTGCGGCTGCGCGCCCTGCAGCGCCGCCTGGTGCTGCTGCGCCAGCTGAAGGTAGTACTGTACAGGTTATTGCCTGTCATCACCTCGCGGGACACGCGATAAAGAGACTACGTGCGGGGTTGGGGAGACTTCATGACTAGGATATGGTGAAGCTATGGTTACTTCAAAGTGTTAAAATAGAAGATAATGATATGTATGGAAGAAGTTGTTGCCTTTTTAGGGTAGGTTCGGGTTAAATGGTATATTACCCATTAGAATTATAATGAAGATTTACCAAGTATTATACAAAGAGCAAGCTCGTGCTCTTTTAGGGTATGAAGGGGTTAAATGTAATAGTTATGGGAGATATCGACATGTATGAAGCAAAGATTAATTTGGTACTTTAGAGTAAGGTAGGGTTAAATTGAATTGTACCCATACTTCTAATACACATGGATTACGAGAGCTACTAGAGTAGTAAAGGTAGTAAGATGGTGTTCCTCTAGGGTAGAATAAAACGAAATAGTACTAATGTTAGATGAGAAATAACGTTTCTAAAATAAGTAAGAGTAAAATAATAGTAAGTAAACACAAGTAATCTTAAGTTGCACGGAAGAGAAATTCCCTTCCAATTCCAAGCATAGACAATATCTAGGTAAAGTGGAAATATACACTTGGAATTTCTATTGAATGAACACTTACATTTTATTGCTAATTAGCGATTAATCCGTCGTAGTAAAAGTCGTGTGCTGCAACTAGTGATACTGACCTGTTCGGTGTTGGAAGCGCGCGGCGGCTCCTCACGTGTTTTGGTAGGCTTCACCTCCTGTCGGGGCACTATGTCTATCAGGAAGTCCAGCTGGTCGGACTTGGATATCGCCATTGCTATATCGTTACGCTGAAATATAATATTTAAATCTACCAGTTGTTATGCAGTACCGGAGTTATGGGCGTGGTAGACCGCTCAGGGCGCTTGACAGAAAAGGGCGGCTGTAAATGACAATTTCATAAAAGAGGGGCCATAAAAATCTTGTCCAGAGTGCTGTCGCTAGAATCGGCATAGGATATTAAATCAGTAATATGGGAGTCGACAACTGTTCATTTAAATAAAGCATACTAAAGAACCCTTCAAGGACACATTTAAAAGCTCTACGTCTAGTTAGTTCTCTAACACATTAACATTTACATTACATTAACTTTGTAAATGTCTCGAAAAGATAAAGAAAGAGATAGAGAAAGGGAAAGAGAGAGGGGGGAGAGAGAGACTTACCTGTAAAGTTCGTCTCTTATTATCTTCAGTATGGGACCAGGCGCGCAACGTCAGCTCATGTATGAAAATCTCCGCAGCTTTCGCGAACAGTACGGGAGCTTCCGCCGAAATCATCTTCACTTCCTCATCCAGTTTCATTATCTTCTTGATTCTCGCTAACGGCAGCGCTTGTGTTTTGAAATCGTCCTAAATGTACGATAGCCTATACTAATATTGTAAAGAGAAAAGATTTGTTTTGGATTTTTGTATTTATTGAAATAACTCAAAAACTACTGGACCGATTTCAAAAATTATAGCATCATTTTCAAGCTATATTGATGACAAAGGCTACATTTTTAAATTTCATGTGGACAAAGTCGCGAGCAATAGCTAGTCTATACTAATATTATAAAGAGGTAAGATTTGTATTTCTGTATTTTTGTATGTATTGAAATAACTCGAAAACTACTGGGACGATTTCAAAAACCATTAATAAGCTATATTAATAACTTCGATAATGTTTTTAATATTATTATTTTTTTATTTTTTCGCGGACGATGTCATAATTTTTTCCTTGTAATAATTTTATAGTAGTTTACGTACGGCATTAACTTTCTTGATATCGTCAGTGACTTTCGCCCAGAAGGCTTGAAGGCTTTGTTGAATGTTCTCCGGAGAGGAGCCCTCCTCCCCCGCCACCTCGGTGTCGCCCTCTTCCGACACCGCTGAGGTACCGGCTTGGTCCCTGTCAGACATTTAAGAAATATATAGACTAGG